GGAGCAAGGGGATCGGGGGTTGTGCAGCGCGGCAAACTCCTTGGCTCCTTCCTGCAACCAGAGCAGAAGAGAAGGCAGGTGGTAGGGGAGCACAGACGGGCTCTTCCCTGGCCCTGGGACAAGACCTGCTGCCACCAAGGGAAGGGGAAGACCTCCCACGCGCGGCCACTTCAGCGAGCGCCAAGGCCCTGCCAGCTGCCCGCGCCACAGGTTCCCGCCTCGCTTCCTCCAGCCCCGCTGCCCTGCCTCTGCCCTGGCGATGAAATTCTCCTGGCCAACTCCTCTGCTCCAGCCCCACAGCTTTCCAGGACATCCCAGACCTGGCCAGCTCCGACCTCACCACCTGCACCCCCATCCCTGCACCCAGCTCTTCCAACCGGCAGCTCAATCCCGCTGGCACAGCCAGGCTGTACTTCTCAAAGATCATTTTTAAACTGCTCCAGCCTTCCCCACACGCACTGGATCCCTTCCCCAGGATTTTTAACCCAGGCTCCATCTTTCCAGTGCTGCACCGAGCGCAGGGAAATCGTGTCAACATCATTTCCCATCTGCTAGCTATGAAATTGGTCTTCCTTGGAGATTTGCTAAAATACGCATCCGGTACGGTCTGTACTTGGATTCACGCTCCCCCAGACCCAACGAATGTTAGAACCAACTCGGAAAAAACATCCGCATGGTGAAAAGGACCCATGGAGTTCTGCCGAGCAGGGCTGGCCGCGTCACCTCCCTCATGGTTTCAAAAGCACAAACGTACCAGCCAGAGGAAACAGTCTGCTCCGCAAGGATCTGGCTCGATCTTGGTCTCTCTGTTCTTTCGTTTGTACACATTGGGAGTGGCGTGAAAAGCTGAAAAAATAATGGTTATCTTTACGATTAGCACCCTCTGAGGGTCTCCCCCCCACGCCCCAAGGGAGGGGGGCAGCGCAGACTCGGAGGGGAGCAGGAGCCCAGGGCAGGCAGCCAGCATCCCAGCAGCCCCCAGCTAGGGGAACCAGGCAGCAGGACCTCCTGGAAACCCGGCTCCAGCCCGGGGGGGGAGCACTCGGGGAGGAAAGGAAAAAAGATCCTGTAGTGATATCCTGTAGTGACAGGACAAGGGGTAATGGGTACAATTAGACATCAGGAAGGAATTCTTCCCGCAGAGGGTGGGGAGGCACTGGGACAGGTTGCCCAGAGAAGCTGGGGATGCCCCATCCCTGGATGTCTTCAAGGCCAGGCTGGATGAGGCTTGGAGCAACCTGGTCTAGTGGAAGGTGTCCCTGCCCATGGCAGGGGGGTTGGAACTGGATGGTCTTTAAGGTCCTTTCCAACCCTAACCAGTCTATGATTCTATGATTCTATAAGATCTGCTTTCAGACTGACAAAAAACAACCACGTGATCTCAATGTTACATCTTTTAATAAATAATTCCCTGGAAAGAGCCCTGTGGCTTTCCAAAGGAGCCCTCAGACCTGGGAAGCAGCAGGTCCGGCAGCTAACCCGTATCCACAAGGCTCTGGCAGGACAAACCGCAGGAACACGACTAAGATGAAGCTCTAAGTTCCAGTGAGGCAACAGAGCACAAGGGCACGTCCAGACTTTGGGATGAGACACTCGTGCCTCTCCCCGATGAGCTTCTGCAGGGCGAGGGCAAAGCCTAGTCGCGGCAACGCTTCCGGCACAAGCTGCCAGGAGGCTGGAACGCAGCGTGCTGAGCCGTGCCGGGAAAGGGGGGGCAGCCACGCGACCCTCCGCTCGAGGAGACGAGCGGAACCGTCTTTACAAAAGGCTTCTGGGCCCCTGTCAACTCCTACGGCCCCACTGCAACTCCGCGGGGGCACCAGCCCCTCCGCACTGCAGCACAACCACGAAGCCAGGCTGCAGCGCTGCGAAGCAGGAGGGGAAAGCGAGGAGAAAAGGGCTCGAGGGGAGCGTCCGGCCGCGACTGCACTTACGATGCAGAAAGCAGTCGTACTTGAAGCAGCGGCGGCAGAAGAGGGTGTGGAAGGAGTGCAGGGACTGCTCCCGCTGCACCGACTTGGCGCACGGCCCGTCTATGTTGGGAGTGCACTGCGGCGGCAGCACGTTGGGGTCCGACACCTCCGTGAGCTCCCGGTACCTGTTCGACAAACAAACACCCGCTGATGCGCCCGCTCTCCTAAGTCGGGGCAACTCACGCGACCGCGCTACAGCCGGGCTCGGGCTGAGCCGCAGTTTCTACCGCCCAAAGGCGGCTCTGCCGGGGGCATCCGCAGCCGCCCCAGCTCGACGTGCCGGTCGGAGCACGGTTTCCCAAAACAGCGACTGGGCAAGAGGTGATGGGCTTAAACTGAAAGTGGGGAGGTTTAGTTTAGGTATCAGGGAAGAAATTCTTCCCAGAGAGGGTGGGGAGCACTGGGACAGGTTCCCAGAGAAGCTGTGGATGCCCCATCCCTGGGAGTGTCCAAGGCCAGGCTGGATGAGGCTTGGAGCAACCTGGACTAGTGGAAGGTGTCCCTGCCCATGGCAGGGGGGTTGGAACTGGATGGGCTTTAAGGTCCCTTCAACCCAAACCATTCTGTGATTCTATGAAAATACAGATTTCAGCTGTTGCTAACAAAGGTAACAGAGAACTAGGATCTTCTACCTCTCCTTCATATCGTCCGGGAAGCCGTATTCAGGGAACATGGAAGAGATAGCCGTGAATATCATGTCATTTGGAAACCGCTTCTTCGAGCACTTCTTGTTACCTAAGAAACGGAGAGAGACAGGCCCTGTTCAGCTGGATGTGAACCTGCTGTCCTTCCAGAGCAATTCCAGCAGGTGTTCAGGATTGCAGTCTGTCCTGCAGCCATGCGGACGCATTTCCAGACACACTCTGCCGCGTCTGGAGCGGCACAAGGGAAGAACTAACGATTTCTTAAGGACTGCCACTATTTATCGTCACGAGGACAGGATCTGCAGACAAAGCCTTTTCTCACCTGCGACAGGTCCTGGTATTTGTGCGACCCGTATCGCTGTGAGCCAAAGACAAAGACAAAACTCCCAGTCAGCATTCCTAAGGTCATGCAGGACACTGAAAATCCCACAAGCCAGAGCTTCCATTATGCCAGGAGAGCTCCAGGTGGCTCCAGCAGACGGAAGAGGAACGCTAACACATGGCAAACGGGTCTGGAAGGGATTTGGGAAGGTCCACGTCCCTGTCCTGCAGCAGGATCAGATCCACCTACAAACCTACTGGCAGATGCTTGCCAGCCTGGGACTCCAAACCCCGTGGGAACAGAGATCCCTCTCCCTCATCTCACCGTGAAATGGTTTTCCACAGGACTCATCTAAATTCTCCCTCAACACACATTAAGCTGGTGAGTTGTTATCCTGTGAGAACAAGCTATTTCCTGTCTGCTCTCGGCTACCAACTTGCCCAGCTGGCTACTGCCCTTCGCGACACGTGAACACCAGGAGCGATGGCCGGAGGGCACTGGCCAGGACAGGATGGAATCGTGACCGACGCAGCCCCAGTTTCTCTGGCCAAACCCACCTTCCGCTGCGATTCGCTTTCTCTTCCTCGTGACTGGCAGCTCCTCTTTCCCATCCTCCTGTTTAACCTCAGAATCATTGTGTCCCTCCTCTTCCTCGTCTGAGTACTGGTTCAGGGCGTTCACCAGCTCCAGGAACACAGCGTCGCTGATGAGGACTGACCCTGAAATCATTTCTGAAAGAGAGGTCAGCTGGTCTGCAGGAGCACGTCACCCTTCGCACTCCTCACGGAGCTCAGTCCCCAGCCGGCACCACGATGCTGTTAGCACGTACAGCCTGCCCCCAGTTTTGTAGGGAGAGGTGGGATTTTAATGCTGGAGTTGCGAGCGCAGCTTCTCATTTTGAGCACTGTGAGGACAGGCCACAGCAGGGCCTTCTGCTGCCCTCCCCCCGCCCCCGGCAGCGTTTCCCGATGGGGTGGGCAGCACTGCAGGGCAACGCACTAACTTTCCATTTGGTAAAAGCCTGTTTCAAGTCTTGGCTAAGCTCACAGGCAAAACGAAGCTGCTGAGCTCCTCCTAACCTCCAGCACATTGTTCAGGACCCCAGAGCACTCCTGGGAGCAAGAGCATGGCTCAGAGCATGCCGGGGCCTGGAGCAGGGCAGACGGCAAAAGGCAGGACTGTGTCCTTGCAGACTACACGGCCGGCACCGCCTGTTTGTCTGCTCCCAGAACTCCTGTGGAACAGCTGGTTACTGCTACCACCTTTTGGCTTCTTAACCGCTTTGAGACGTTACTTGCAGGAGCCT